CCCCCCCCCCCCTTTTCAGAACTCCGAATCCAGCGACGTCGAGACCCACCTAGCGGAGGTGGAAGTCACACCAGTGCTTTGAGGAATGTATCTGGCCACTATGTGTGGAACGTGATTGCTGTTGTTTCTGCTTCTTCTTTTTCTTCTTTTCATTTTTTTGTTGTGCCCTGGCAGCGAGGCAGGGCACATCCATACGGGGGCAAGGTCCCACTTGCACGGATTAAGAGATTCTGGCCGTTGATCTTTGCTATCTACGGTCAATATCGCTTAATAATTCGTGTTAGTGGGACCTAGCCCCGGGTGAACGGACTGCCTCACTCAGCTCGTACTCACACTACGTTCTTCCCCCCGAATACAACGTACGGTTGTTATAGTATCTGTATTTGGGGTAAGTTCCAGTCTAGATACAGCAATAACGACCGCACGTTGTATTTGGGTGAAGAAGGTAGTACTGCGGCAGCGAGGTGTATTCTACCGCAATCACAGCATAACGGATGTTTTTTTTTTTTTTTTTTTTTTTTTTTTCCTTTCATCGGCTGTTCATTGGACAGACGCCCTCACTGAGGGCGCAGTCTCACCAGCACCTCATAGAATGTATCTATCTGATGGCTATCACAGCATTAGGGAAATTTCAAATTTCCTTTTTTTTTTTTTTTTTTTTTTTTCCCTTTATTTTTGTGATGCAACTGCCGTGAGTACCAGGAAAAAAAAATACAATGGGACCCAGGCTCGGCAAAACTCGGTGCGCACTGAAGTTCAGGTTCGGCAAAAACAGGAGCGGAGGTAGTGGTGGTTTAAAGAAAGTGTTTGAGGGGAAAAAAACAACGTTTTTCATCCCGACCCCAATGCTTGATCAGCGGGGGCCATGTCCCACTAGCGTTGAGCTACCTCAACGCCTGAATCTGGACGTGTTTGTGGAGACGTGCAGTTCAGGAAACTCGACACCATTTCTGCAACATATCTGCAACAGCGTCCAGATTCAGGCGTTGAGGGAGCTCAACGCTGCTAGTGGGACTTGGCCCCGGAGGTAGTGGGGAAAAAAAAAATGTTTGAGAAAAAAAAAGTTCTAATTTCGACGACCCTAATGCTTGATCAGCGGAGGTGGTGGGACATCCGTTAAAATTGGAACGATACAGAGAGAAGAAGATTAGCATGGCCCCTGCGCAAGGAATGACACGCATAAATCGAGAAATGGTCCAAATTTTCAAAAAAAAAAAAAAAAAAAAAAGTATGAGGAACAAAAAAGGTTTTTCATCCCGACCCTAATGCTTGATCAGCGGATCAGCAAGGGTTGTATCAAACACACAGGGCCTCACTCCACTACACAACACTACATGTATCTGGACCACATAATCGCCCCAATGCATTCAAAATGCTGGGACTCCTTGGAATGCACATGGTCCGGAGAACCGGCCAAGTGCACGTAGAATGTTCGCAGCCTGTAGGATCGCACCTTGAGTCATTTTCAACGTTTGGTTCTACCGGTCGTTCCCTTTGGCCCAGTGGGTCGTTGGAAGGGTGTTAAATTTGCAGGCAGGGGGTTCTATGTGCCGGGCAGTCCTTTACAGGCGCAGGACCGGTATTGGCCGCGGTCCTGGATAGAAAACGAAAGAGTGCGCAGCCCACTTTCTCGAGTAGAAGGGCATGCACATGCGCTGTATTCAAATACAAAGCATATGTTTTCTATTCTAATTTCAAAAAGAAGAACCTCTTGTATTCAAATAGAACATTGCTTTTGTTTTTCCCGAGGTTAGCGCCTGCTTTTGTGCTCCTGGCCACTGACACATCTCTCTCTCTCACACACACACACACGCACACACACACATACATACACACACACACTCTCACATACACGCACTCACTCTCACATAAACACACTCTCTCACATCCAGGCATGTACGCGCACACACACTCTTGGGGTTGTGTATAGTGAACAGGACAAAGCATAAACACAGCATAATCACTACCTCACCCTTCCCCCCCCCTCCCAACCACATCAACAGACAAACTACGGGCTGCACACCCGTGCCCTCATGGTAAGTCAATTTGAGTGGTGGAGCGAGGCCGCCCATCTTTTCATCTATCCCCCATTACTGTCCGTGCTTTTTTTTTCTTCCCCTTCCATAATGGGGGGTGCCACTATCCTTGTTGCATTCATCCGATTGCATCACCAAGAATTCGAACTCACAATCTGTTTATCAAATGGTTGCATTCATTGTACCACTGGGTCAATCCCCCAGCCCGCTTTTGCCTCACGTTTATGTAATCCTTGTTGCATCCATCTGAATCTGATACCACTGGAACGGATTCGAACTCTCAATCTGTTTATCAAAGGTGGCATTTTTGTACCACAGTTGCTTATTTATTAACGCGTTATTCATTCATTTCCTTCATCCCTTCGTTCTTCATTTGTTCATTTTCATTCCTTCATTTGAGAAATAGTAAAATACAAAATAAAGAATATAATAAATGGATATTAGATTCATTTATATGAATCTAATATCCATTTGAGAAATAAAATTATTATGAAATTATTACATTAATTATTTATGGAATATTCGCTCATTCAATCGTAATTGTTTAATAAACAGGAATGAATGAATGAATGAATGAACAGGAGTAACTGTTGGATACGATGAGATGGCGAGTTGAGGAGGGAGATGACATTTTGGTGTAATCGTCTTATGTTCGTCTTCTCTCCTCCGCCGTTCTTTCTTTATCTCATTCCACTTCTTCTTGAGTTGCGGTTGAAGGCATCGTCTCACATTTGAGTTTTGCAATAGTGAGTTGTCGGCTAGGATCATAGAACAGAAATGTTGTGGGTATCTTTTTTGTTTTTTGTTTTTTGGTTGTTGTTTTTTGTTTTTTGTTTTAGCTGACACCTGCTGTGGGTGGAGAAATCGATTTGTATTTCTTATATTTCAGATGAGATGAATTTGACATTGCCTTCTGTTGCTTTGTGCTTCCTTTCATGCATTCTGCAGGAGTCTTGTAAGGACGTTCGGCTCCTCATCAGGCTCGTCAGGCCCGATGTATGAATTGGTTATATACAGCAATTTGCTCATTGCCCGTGTCTCCATTTTCATGTTCTGATCTCTCTCTCTCCTCGTTGCACCCCCTCACTTCTCGTCATTTTCTTGTGAACCACTACGTTGTCCACCTTGCTATTCATGCCTCAACTCTCCTCCATGCCCTGTTCTTCCGCCTCCCTCTGTCTTTCTCCTGTGAATGTCTACAAAAAACGTAGGGAGCCTTGTAGCCGACAGAAAACACAAGATGAGAGAAAAGAAAGAAGAAAGTGAAACGAAGATGCAAAATATTAAAAGGAAAAAGTAGTTTGTCTGCCTGCCTTCCGTTCCGTTCAACTTTTTCCATGTTTGAGTGGCGAGATGATAGTGGGAGGGTCGCCAAGGTGGGAAGATGGTGGGAGCGAGCTGTGGGATGATGAGGGGCAGCATTAGGGAGAGAAGTGGCGAAGGACGGTGGGCAAGGTCATGAAGGTAGGAGCGATTGACGCCTTTATAGGGGCAAGTCTGTAAAGGTCGAGGACAGATTTGGCGGGATGATCAGGAGGGGCAAGTTGCTATGGATGTTGGGGGGTAAGCGATGAGGAATGAAATGGTGTAGTCACGATAGGGGGCACACACAGACACACACACACACACACACACACACACACACACACACACACACGCACGCACACACACACAGAGAGAGAGAGAGAGAGAGGCCCTGGTTCATCATCCTGGTAAGATTGAAGCGATGGGGCAGCAGTCCTTCGGCTGTGGAGGCTGCAGAGCAGATTGTGGGGAGAGGGAGAGCTCAACTTCAAATTCCAATTGAAATGGCAAGCGAGATCGTGGTGGGACACCGGACTTCTGTTTGTGGCTGCCTGTGACTCCCTGAGGCCTGCTTAAACCACCAGTACCTCTCCCGGCTATTTTGTTTCGATGTGTTCTGATGTGTCTTTGAACATGCTGTGTTACGGTGTCTTTTGAGGCTCAGCCTACGGAAACATAAAGCCTGGTGGCAGCAACAAAAAAAAAATGATTTCGTGCCGGCGTCAGGTTGACAAACATCGTGTGGTGGAGAAATCTGGGTCGGGAAACACAAAATTTTGTGCTGGCGCCGTGTCTTTCGGGGCTTGGAGAAGTTGGAGGTACCGATGGTTTATTGTAGAGAAGTCGAACACACAAACTTTGGCTCTCTGCCACGTGGGCCTTATCTGGATGGGCCCCAAAACTCTGCTATGTCTGCATGGAGCCCCCTCCGGATGCGGTATCCTAAGCTGACCATCTCGTATATCTCCAAGGCTATGTTGATGTGTCCGGTTTGTAAGCATGGTTTCTTGTTGGATGTCTTCCCATGTTTACTGCCCTTGTTATGGGTTCGAAGTGTCAAAGGATGCCCGTCTTTGTTTAGGGAGTAACTTTGCGATGTTTGTGACATACCTTTTGATATTGCAAATTTGTTTATCAATCGTTTCAGGTGGTGTTCGTGGAGGTCTGCCGAGATCGCATGTCTTTATTCACTCTAGCCCCAAAACTGCCGGTGAGAGTCTTATTACATGCCTTTGGGCTCGGTCCTCTCTCTCTCTCTCTGTGTGTGTGTGTCTGCATGCACCCTTTTCTCTAACATTAAGTACCTCTGAGCTGATACATCTGACTTCCTTGCTCCTTTTCTGTTGTTAAATTGAAGGCAGGCAGGTGGAATTGCCTGCTTCCAAATTTGCTACAATCTGGGACTTGAGCACAATTTTATGTGCAGAATTTTCGGTGGGAAGGCCTTCCTCAAATTGCCATTACACCTTGTCACTTGGTAGGACTGCTCTGGAATCCTTGGGTCATGTAAACATTTCAATGATTTCGTTCATCTCAGTTATTATTACTTATTTTACTGCAGGGGAAGGCTCCTATGGTTGTTGATGCTACCATCCGGATTATCATGTAACTGGTGTGTACAGACTGAGCTGTGAAGCATTGCTGAAATTTGCTAAATTTAGTTCCTAGCAGTTCTGACACCTAATCAAAAATAAGTTAAATAACTGGACCAGTGGGCGTTCTGTATTGCTCCCGGAGGTTTGGGTGAGGAGGGGGGCGGGGAACCTGTGGACTGGGATTGAAAAGTAGACTGGAGAGAAAGAAAGGTATTTTATGGAAGGTGTGAATACGGACACCGACATAGGTACGCCTCATGAGCTTGTGTAAGAGAAAATGAATGGAAAGATGTTGCCGAAGTGGGATGCGGAAGTGGGATGTTTCTTTGCAAGTGGGTTATTCATATATATATACCAGAAGTGTAAGGGCTGCGTCTATTTCCTGACAGAGGAGCGGATTAGGCTGCTTGGGTATCTACTCCCTTGGTCGTCTCGCAGGCTTTGGTTGCTGGCCTTAAACCATTACCTCAACTGCCCCTGCACTGATCATTTTTTTTGTCTACAAGTACCGGGCGAAAATCTACAGTGGCCAGGCTCGGTAGGGGTTTGGTGGGGAAGGTCGCCGTAACTATTTTTCCCTGACGGTGGCACTGTAGATTTTAGGCTCCGGTAAACACAACTTAACTTTTGGTTTGTCAAAATGTCTGGATGGAGTGGTGGTTTACCGTGTGTGGTGGCTCACCAATGCATGTAATCGTGGGGGGCTATAGGACAGTTTGTACCTCTCATTATCGTTAGCTTTGAAAGGCGCGAAACTGACGTGTGCAGTAAATGTTATTTACCAACCGGTCGTTGGAAACATGCACGCCTTGTGTATCATCTGCTTGGCATTGATGCCATCACTCAACATTGCCCAACAACTTAGGTCCTAAACCCTGGTGATCTCGACTTTGCGTAGGCACTGCTCTGTCTTGTGCAGAAATCCTCTAGTTGTTGTTGAGCATGAGTGGGAACTCTGTGGTCCTGCTTCAGGAGAGGCCTGGCATGATATGGGAGGAAGGTGGTTGGATAGGAGGAGAAGCATGCGTGGTGGGCGCTCCGGGGCAGTGTAGTGGTGGCACTGCGGTTGCGCAGTGTGTTGAAGGAAGGGGCTTGTTGCAATACAGGAAAGCCACTGCCTATGGGTTTGACTGACGGTCGGCGCTCATATACCTGTCTGTTGAGGTTAGGATGAGAATTGGTTTTGAGCTGACACTTCTCACATCAAACTGCAAGTACACGGCCCCAGCCTTGCAGAAAGTTTTTGTCGCCACAAGCAAAACTCGGAGGGGCCGCGCGGCGTGGGGCGCTGGTGAAAAAGAAATCGGCGGCCTCCGAAGTGGTGCGGGTTTCGTGCTCTGACACCTGCGGGCCGATGTGTGGTGTAATGGTGCTTTAATACTTCTACTCGGTGTTGAGGCTCTTCTCCTATGACTGTGAGGATTGGATTCTCAGCTGGCGCTGTGTGTCTGCGTACTCTGCAGTGCTGTTCTTTGCCACATGATTGATACTGAGGCACATTTTCGACGTCGACAGCAGCAGCCATTCAGATCTTGTAGTCATCGACTCTTTGGTGGCTTACATTGCTTATCAATTCCTCTCCTTGGCCAGTTCGTGTTCTGATTGTCCGTGTTAACCTTGACTAACTGACCATTGTCCGGGTGCGGGATTGTGTGAAAACAGCTGTCTTCTTTTACTGCTACTGCGTCGCCTTGCAGTCATTCATTCTTGTCTGTTGTATATTGCTTGCTATCTTTTCTCTTTGGCCAGTTTCAAGCTGTAGCTAGTTAAGCTCCTGGTACCATGCGAACCGCCCTTCCACATATGCTGCGTGCTGGATTACATCTTATCACGGAAGGGCATTTGGGCCTTTGTTTTGGGTTGTGTTTTGTTGAATGCTTTCTTGAGAGTGATCGCCTGTACTGATTTTTGTGGCCTCTGTTGGGTCATGTTGGTTACTTCCTGCTCACCCCCCCTTGCTTCAGTTGCTTGTGCTTTCTGTGAAGATCTGGTCAACCACACTGGTCTGACCAGCCTCGCTTTTTTTTTTTTTTCTACACTAGCCCCGGCCCCGGGGCCCCGGCGGGGGTCCCGGGCTAGCCCCGACAAAAAAAGTAAGGAAAAAAAAAAAATCAAAAAAAAAATCAAAATAAAAATCAAAATAAAAATAAAAAATACAGGGGGGTGCGCAGCCGCAGTCTGCACCCCCTGGGCCAAACTGCAATATTGCAGTTTTGGCCCAACTTCGGGGCCCCCCCGGGGCTACACCCCACCCTTATGAGCCCGGGGTAGTGCGGGCGTGGGGCCGGGGGCGGGGCTAAGCGGGGTTCGGAGCCGGGGCTCAGCGGGGTGCGGGGCCGGGTTTGGCTGGCAGCGGGGGCGGGGGTGTGGGGTCGGGGCAGGGGTGGGGGCGGGGGTGCGGGGCTGGCTGAGGTAGCCAACTGTGCACCTCCCCACAGAAAAAAAAATAGGTCCCACGTATTCCCCTTGAGTAGTCTTTTTCGCAGAGGACCCCGGCAGTACATATGCAAGGGTCCCAACACCTCAAGAGATGTTCAGCCGATTTCGGACGACAGAAGAGCAGGCCCGCAATATATGTTCTGGATCCGAAGTCAGGTCTGCTTTCGAGCAGTTATGGGTTACAAGTTACAACTACGTATTCTTTTGTTTCCTTTTCCTACGAGCAGTGGCCCTAAGGGCCTTGCTCCACTCGTCACCAGCACAAAAGACAAAACATATGGCGGCGTATGTGTTCCATGTTCTAGCAGAAGATTCATTCCTCAATTTCTTGTGTTTCCATTTCCTACGAAAAGTTTTTGTTTTTTATTTTTTTTATTTTTTTGTTTTTTTGTTTTTTTGTTTTTTTGTTTTTTTGTTTTTTTTTGTGTGGTCCGATGGCCTTGCTTCACTCGTCACCACTTGCACAAAAGACAAAACATATGGCGGCGCATGTGTTCCATGTTTTAGCAGAAGATTCATTCCTTTATTTCTATTTTTCCTTTTCTTACCAGAAGTGGCCCTAAGGGCCTTGCTTCACTCGTCACCACATGCACAGAAGACAAAACATATGGCGGCGTACGGCGTGCTCAGTGTTCCCATAACTGCTGAAACACGGACCTTAAAGTGAATCAACAGCATATATACTTCGCGAGCCATGCCTTTAGCATGGCTATGATTCCTACCTCGTTCATAGCAACGTGGCCCTTGCTGATTGT